CTCCCACCCCCCCACCTGCCCTGTTCAGAGAGGCGGAGCAGGCCCCGAACCCCAGCCCCCCCCGTACCTGTTCCCATGCAAGTGCATGCAGCGCACTGTGGACGTGTGCCCGTACAGCGTGTGCACGCACTCGCCCGTGTCTGCATTCCACACTTTGAGGGTCCGGTCGGTGGAGCCGCTGATGACAATGCTGTCCCTCATCTGGGAAGACCACACCCCCCCTGTGTGGCCAACCAGGGTCTGCACACACTGCAAAGAAGAAGTTTGAGGCCAGGTCGGATAGGGCTTTGAGCAACCTGGTCTAGGGGAAGGTGTCCCTGGCCATGGCAGGGGTCTGGAACCAAAGGATCTTTATGGTCCCTTCCAACCCAACCCGCTCTGTGATTCTACACGCGACACTGGATTGGGAAAGGCTGAACACCACAGCAAAAAGGAAAATCAAAGCGTAGGGTTTCCTCTAGGCAAGGGCTCGGCTCAGTCAGGCTCTTCAGGCCAGCGATCCACCGCCCTGCAGACAACCTTGGGCCCCACCAGAGTCCTCCCCGCAATAACGGTCGCCAAGTTCCTTGCCCCTCCTGGATCTCTGGGAAGGTGGCCCACGCCATCTGACTGCCAGCAAAAGCACGCGTGGCCAACCTTCGCTCGTTTGTTACTGCACCAACAGACTCGGAGCTTCAGACAGGTCCTCCCACCGCTCCTGCAGCCACAGGACCTACCAAACCCTCTCCCCAGCTACACTTTGCCAGAGACGGGACAAACCCAGCTAGAAGGGCCCTCTGCCTCTCACACCACCCACTGCCGTGGCAGCGCAGAGGACCAGCGTGCCCCGCAGTGTGCCCCCCAGCATGCCCCCCAGCGGAGCCACCCTGTGGTGTGACCATGAGCGTGGGCTCACCTCCCCCGTGACAGCAGACCACACTTTGAGCGTGTTGTCATCCGAGCCACTGACTATCCGGTTGCCACAGAACTGCAGGCAGGTAATGACGTGATCGTCATGTCCCTTCAGCACCTGTGCTAAGAAGGACACGAGTAAGGAGGGCGGCGAGGGCAGCCCAGAGCTCCAGGGCCGGCAGAACCCCGGGCCCCAGAAGCCTTGTGAGAATGGCGGGGAAGCAGTAAGTGCTGAGGGGAGGATGAACAGACGGGTCCCTGTAACGCCTGCCACCACCCCGCTGCTTCTCTGCAGGGCAGCAGCCACTGTAGGAGCCAGGGGCAGCATTTGGTAGCTACTGCTGGGGGATGGTAGGCTACCTGGGGACGCCAAACCATGGATGGACCCTTGTGGCTGTTAAGGCTGCAGAAGCTATTGAGCTCAGAGCTGGAGGTCTGTTCTGGATCAAAAACTGGTGGCCATCAGCCAGAGCGCATTTAGGGCCACCAGCTCCATTTTCCATGTGATGGAAGGCAGGCAGCACGAATGGTGCACCAGCTGCCACCTCCCCAACACGGTGAGGTGGAGACAGGGCAGCAAAGGTGGGCAATGACCAAGCAACATCTGCAAGCGGGCAGAGATCGGGCAGGTTAGGCAGGGACAGGGAACATGGAGGCACATCGGGCAGACCTGGCCAAGCCACAGGGAGGGGCAGCATGAGAGCAAGTGGCAGCTCAGCGTGAAAACAAGCCCAGAGCTGCCCTTTGCAGAGAAGAGATTCCCCTCAGCCACGGCAAGGTACAGGGGGGGCGTCCTGGTGGGTGGGCGCCCCTGCGGGTGGGCATCCCGACGGGCAGTGCCCTGGAGAGCTCTGCTCATGGGGGCACAGACCAGGGTGTCGGGGGGGCTCAGGAAAGGGCTGCCTGGTGCCAGTTTGCTGCTGGGGGTGCAGCCCCTGCAGCAATGGCACTGTGCAGAGCACTGCTGCTCACCCCAGGTGCCACCGAAGCAGGGGCTTGGAGAAGGGGCTGGGAACACCGGGGGCCCTGAAAAGGTCTCCAGAGGTGGAGAGCAGCAGGACCGAGCCTGTTACCCGAGGGACTGAGGGAAGGGGAGGCTGGGGCTCTGCTCCCCCTGCCTCCTGGACAGGGACGAGGGGCAGGCAGGGACCTTGGCAGGGAGTGGCACAGCCAACAGCCCAGTGTTCTGGAACCTTGTAGCAGGGACAAAGCTCGACTGAGCTCCAGAAGGGCTGCACCGCTCCTGGGATGCCATGGTCAGCTACAGCCCTGCCACAGGGCTCAGAGAAGGGGTGAAGGGACGGGAACCCCCTCCCCTCTGGGGTCCAGGGTGACCCTTCTTCTGCTGGCAGAACTGCAGCCCTGGAACACCCACGGTGGCCATCCCCGAGGTCAGCTGTGCTGCCAGACGGAGCACACAGGAAAGCTCCACGTAAGCTGCACTGCGGGTCTGCTCTCTGCAGGCAGGGACAGGAAGTGCAGGGAGCAGGCAGGACCTGCAGCTTCGGCAACCTCTACGTTCAAGGGCTTCCAAGAGAACGCCTTTGGCCTGTGCCTCCTGAAGGCAGGCCAGACTTGTGAATGTTTTCCTGAGGCTCTTTCAAAATTCTTAGTGCTGTCCTCATCCTATTGGTCATGGATGTTTTTCTGCCACTTCCTTCCTGTACCAGCTTCCTGCACATCAATGCTCTACAGCCTGGTTCTCAGCAAGGACCCCTGAAAGCACCCACCTTAGGGGCTTTAAGCTCCCCGCTGCGCCAATTCATGTCAATTTTGTGCTGCCGCATGAAGGCAAATTTCCAGGGGCTGTACATGAATCCAGGACTCAGTAGGCGCCGCTTCCTGAGGTTCAAGGGCTCCTCAATGCCTGCAGGAGGGAAACACAGAGCGGGATGCCTCACAGTACGCAGGCGGCCCATGCCCTCACCCTGCTGGGGAGCCAACACAATGTACATCCGTGGGAGCTGTGGGCTGCCCCACTGCAGATCCCAGCCAAGACCAGCCACACGCCGTGGGGAGGAGGGGTCTCTACCTTCTTCGCGGCATTTCTCTCTCCAAAGCAGGTTATCTTCAGCCAAGACCCTCCAGTAGCGGCAGGTCTGGGCAGCACGGAGCAGGTCCCGTGGCTCCAGGAACGAGAGGACATAGAGCGCCAGCTGCAGGAGGGGAAGCCGAGTCACAAGGGCACAGCGGGCTCCCGTGGCTGGGAGCCGGGGGCCCGCCCCAGGGCCCACCCTGCCCCCCCC